ATGGCCCATGTACCTGGCATCACACCAGTGCTGAAATTCACCCATGGCATTGCTCAACTGTGTGGTAGGTAGAACATCTTCATGCATCTTTGGCATTTGTCCTAATAAGTGCAAGACAACAAGCTTCAGCAACACATCAGACTTTTCAGCAATATTACAGTTTGTTGAAGAAGGGATGGAGTAGAAAGAAGCTGTTTTTAAAATGTATAATGTATATCTTGAGAATGTCTTTAGATAGTTTTAAATGCTGATTCAGGTATTGAGTAAAAGAAACTTCAGTTGGCAATAGTCCTGATCTGGCTTTTTTCTCTCTCTCTCTCTTTCTTTTACAACATGTACAGAGAAAAAAGCTAGTTATGAACAAAAGCTGGGTTAGTGCAGTTAAAGAAAGCCCTGAACGAACAATCATGTCCCTGGACAAAATCCACATCGACTCCAATGAGCTGATTGAGAAGCAGCCCCTGGATAGTGGAGGATTTGGAATGGTGTCTTTATGCTACAGGAAGAATCATGGACTCGTTGTTTTAAAAACAGTGTACACAGGACCACAACGCACAGAGTAAGTATAACCTGAATACACAACTAAGTAAAATGCATTATCCTTAAAATACTTTCAATTGCAATGGTGTCGTGCTTGGTTTGAGAATACTGAAAACTGATTGCACTTTTCAAGCAGTGCACAGTTTTTAGAATTCGTTTATGGCTTGTGGGTGTCACTGACTAAGCAACATTTATGGCCCATCCCTAATTCCCTGGAGAAGACAGTGGTGAGTTTCTTTCTTGAACCGCTGCAGTCCACGTGCTGTAGAGACATCCACAATGTTGTTAGACAGGGAGTTCGAGGATTTTGACCCAGCAACAGTGAAGAAATGGCGATATATTTCCAAATCAGGATGATGAGTGGCTTGGAGGGGAACTTGCAGGTGCTAGTATTCCTTTGAATCAACTGCTGTTTTCCATCTAGATGGAAGTGGTCGTGGGTTTGGAAGGTGCTATCTGAGGTGCTTTTGTGAATTTCTCCAGTGCATCTTGTAGGTAGTGCACACTGCTGCTACTGAGCATCGATGGCGGAGAGAGTGGATGTGGTGCCAATTAAGTGGGCTGCTCCATCCTGATGGTGTCAAACTTCTTGAACTGCCCCCATCCAGGCAAGCGATGAAAATTGTGTAAAAGAGGATCCTTTCAGGACAGAGTTTCCTGTGCTTTCTGAGGCAAAGGAACACATCCAAAAGTGTGAATGCTGCACCTGCCCAACCCCAAAACAACTTTTATTTCATATAGAGTTTGCATCCCCCAAGCCTTGATCTATCCACTCTCCAGGTTATTCCTGCAAAGGGGTGCACTCAGGGGAGTGTGGTGCTACCTCTTAGACACTCCTCTGCACCTTAGACATTGGAGTAGGATTTTTAGGCCCACTGCATACGGTTCTGGTCACCACACTACCAAAAGAATGCGGTTGCTCTGAAGAGGGGACTGACAAGGTTTACAAGGATGTTGCTTGGTATGGGGGATTTTAACTATGAAGAAAGGTTGGATAGGCTGGGTTTGTTTTCACTGAAATGCAGGAGGGTGAGGGGTGACCTGATAGAAGTTTATAGGATTGGGAATAGCATGGTTAGAAGATACGTTCCCAGGGTGAAGGGGTCAGTTACTAGGAGACACAGGTTTTCAAGGTGCAGGGCGTGGGTGAAAGTTTAAAAGAAATGTGTGAGGCACATTTTTCATGTAAAGGGTGATGAGTGCCTGGAATGTGCTGCCAGAAGAGGTGGTGGAAGCAGACATAGTAGCAGCATTCAAGAAACATCTGGACGAATACATGAATAGGAGGGGAATAGGGGGACATGGATACTGTAAGTGAAGACGGTTTTGGTATGGAAGGGCAAAATGTGTCGGTGCAGACTTGGAGGGCCGAAGGGCCTGTTTCTGTGCCGTGTTGCTGTTTGTTCACTGAGATTGAGAACAGAAAACCCAAAAATAATGGGATTAAAAGCGGCAAATGCTGAGAAGCTCAGCAGAATCTGTGGAGAGAGAAACAGAGTGAATGTTTGAGACTCTGGTACGACTCTGGGCCTTCGGAGTTCTGAGGATGAGTCATATCAGACTTGAAATGTTAACTCCTGTTACTCTCTCCCTCTCTCTCTTCCCCCCCCCCCCCCCCCCCCCCTATCTCTCTTTCTCTCTCTCTCTCTCTTTCTCTCTGTGTCTCTCTCTCTCTCTCTCCACAGATGCAGACACACCTATGGAGTTTCTCGAGCACTTATTTTTTGTTTTACATCTAGCAGCATCTGGAAAACTTTTGCATTGGTTTTGTTCCCAAAAGATACTATGCCCTGGTGTGCCAGTTTCCTGGTACCCATTCCTGGCACCAGCCAATTTGAAGGTGGCAGATTCAAGGCCTACCAAGGCTGACCAGCCCTGCCATGAGGTAACCATCTCATTCACTGTGAGCTCATCCAGAACCTCACTGACAATAGCCAAAGGAGAGTGTCTGGGATTTTCCACATTGTCCTGTGATGGGCACCTCAGTCCCCCAGGGACGGGCACCCTTTACGAAGCTGAGAAGATGGGCCCCCCCCCCAACCATTATGGCTGTCTGTTTCCCATTAGAGAGTTTTATTTAGTACCGTTTGTAACGTGAGGAACTTGGTGGCTAAACCCACAAACAGCATTGTGGTGACAACTGGATAATCTGTGTGTATTTTTGAAAAATTGCTTGAGAGATAACTACCAGGGAGGTCGCTGGGGAGAACTCCTCACTTTTCCTTTTGAAATTGTGCCAGGGGATCTCTGTGTAGCCGGGCACTCAGTGTTGCAGCTCGCTGTCTTCTGTGGTGTGGCAAAACATTCCCTCAGTGCCGCACTGGAGTAGTCAGCATATGTTGTGCTCAGGTCCTGGGTTGGGATTTGAATGTTGTGATTTAGTGGAAAGTGCCCCTCCAGCTGAGCCACAGCCACAGCCATGTACATTGATCTTTGCTCATACTTCATTCTCGAGGCCAAGCATTTTGACTGTGGGTGATGGTGTAAACTGGGTTATAGCGAATTGAGAGTTCTTTCCAGTATATTGGCTGAGGGCAGGAACCACGGGCCCAGGTAATGTCCAGGCTGGAGCCTCAGGCTCTGCCCCCACCCCACAGTCAAAACATGGCAGCTGTAGAAACCCGACCTTCTTGACAGCCGAGTCCACAGAGCCCCGGACCCTGGCGTAGCAGGCCCCTCTGCTCCAGGTCCTGTTAGTATCAAACACATCATTAGGTTTTGATTATTAGGCATTTAAAAATAAGTTTTAAATTGTGCCTCTTTAAGACGTTACAAAGGATTGAATTTGGAATAGCTCTGATGGTTCTGCAGCCTCTGTGGGTGGCAAGCAAAAAAAGCTGAAAGTTAATCCAACAGAAGGAGTTTAACTTAACCATTTTTTCCATTTTTCAGGTACAATACTTCCCTCCTTGAGGAAGGGAAAATGATGAACAAGTTGAATCATGATCGTATCATAAAGTTGATTGGAGTTATTTTGGAAGATGGCAATTACTCGCTTGTTATGGAATTCATGGAGAATGGGAACCTTTTGCAGCTTTTACAAAGTGTAAGAGTCAAAAGTTTACAATAATTTCTCACACTTATTGGCTGCAGTATGGGATTACAGTTCATGAACTGCATATGAGTGCCAGACAGTTTTTATTTGTATTCATTCACAGGATGAGGGCATTGCTGGCTAGGCCAGCATTTATTACCCATCCCTAATTGCCCAGAGGACAGTTATGAGTCAACCACATTGCTGTGGGTCTGGAGTCACATGTAGGCCAGACCAACTAAGGATGACAGTTTCCTTCCCAAACGGACATTAGTAAACCAGATGGGTTTTTCCCAACAATCAGCAGTGATTTTGTGGTCATCATTGGACTCTTAATTCCAGATATTTATTAAATTCAAATTCCACCATCTGCTGTGGCAGAATTCAAACCAAAGTCCCCAGGACATTACCTGGGTCTCTGGATAACAGTTCAGCGATAATATCACTAGGCCATCGCCGCCCCAGTTACAGTAAATGTAAAGTACAACTACATCATAACCAGCACACATATTCAGCTATAATACAACCTGAAATAAAGGAAAGCATCTTCTCCTGTCTTCTCCTGTCTGAATGTTCTTTGCAATATAAATTCAATCATTGTATCATGTCATGTGTCAATACAGTGTAGGTGAAGGCAAATGCTCTGTTTGTAAGACCCATGAACCTGTTTTAAGGATGTTATGACACATCTCTGGAGCAGGTAGCACTTGAACTTGGGCCTCCTGCCTCAGAGATAGGGACACTACCACTACACCACAAGAGCCTTAAGCTTTGTGAACCTAAGCCCTCAGATCTCCCCACTGTAGCTGGTCGAATTTAAATTAAATGAATTTAAAAATCTGGAACTGGTGACCATGAAACTATTGATGCTGTAAAACCCATCTGGTTTACTGATGTCAGCCATCCTTACCTGGCTCCAGATCCATAGCAAATGTAACTGATTGTTAATTGTCTGAAATGGCCCAGCAAGCTACTCAGTCCAATGACATTTGTAGCATTTCTATTACTTTAATTTTTTTATTTTGTTCTGTATGATTATGCTGCATCTGTGTTCAATTCGTTTCTCTCTCTCGCTGTCTTATTGCAAGGGATCTTGTTATTTGTCTAGATATGCTAATTTCTTGAAAAAGTTTGTTTAGTTAATGCAGGTATGAACACGTTCGTTAAATCCAAGGCCCCTGAGTTTATTGTGTTCTGTTTCTCTGTTAGTGATAGCCAGTGACTTTCAGTCCTCTATCTGCTGTCTTTTTTTCCCTGGGACTGGAGGAGGTGCGATGGGGCTGGAAATGGTCCGTTGGGTCCTGGACCATCCTTGCTGCTCTTGGATTTTCTGTTAAAAGTGAGAACTGCTTAAGCTTCTGCAAGAAGCTGTGTGCTGGCGGTGCTATTAATCGGCACTTTGAAGATATTGTGCGATGTTAGTGTTCATTCCCTAACTAAAGCTTTGTGAGTGCTTATGGGTCTACAGGATTACTGTTTGCTTGATCGTTGAAGGTCATAAGTGGAGGTGGAGTGAACTTTTCATTTTGGCTGATGCTATTTCATAACCATCATCGTTGTACCTGCACAAATCCAGGAGCACCAAGGTTAATTGTATTTGACATTACTTCCTCAACTGGAGAGAGCATAGATCAGAGGCTAAACCTGGTAACTCTGGCCTGCCTTGTGTGTCTCAGCACCATGCAGCATGGTGCACATACCCATTCAGCAGAAATGCTTTCTTATAAATGATTCAGTAACTGGACACTTTAAACACCTGAAAGAATCACTGCCCAACAAGCAGTCCCATCGCATGTTACAGAGGCTGTCCCGATTACATAATTCCTCTAGGTGTTCAACACTTTAACAGAGGTGCCTTGGGCCACAGTGTACACTTCACTGTCGGGATACTTTGAGTCACAGTTCAGTATCTGGCCAAGTCTTACCCTCTACACTTTTAAACTGAAAATCAATTGCAAGTAAACCTCCCTTGAAGCTGTACCCATCGAACCATTTTAGGGAGAGGCAATGGCCTAGTGATATTATCACTGGACTGTTACTCCAGAGACCCAGGTGATGTTCTGGGAACCTGAGTTTGAATCCTGCCACGTCAGATGGTGGAATTTGAATTCAATAAAAATCTGGAATTAGGAGTCTAATGGTGACCATTATTCTTTGCTAATTGTCGATTGTTGGAAAAACCCTTCTGGCTCACTACTGTCCTTTAGGGAAGGAAACTACCATCCTCAACTGATCTGCCCTACATGTGACTCCAGATGCACAGCAATGTAGTTGACACTAAACTGCCTTCTGCTCAATTAAGGATGGGTAATAAATGCTGGCCTGGACAGTGACACCCTCATCCCGTGAATGAATAAAAAAAACACTCCCAGGAGAGGAACAGCATGGGGTGAAATACAGAGTAAAGCTCTCTCTACTCTCTTAAATTGAAGCTAAACCTCTCTTTACACTTTTCAACTGAAACTAACCTGAAAATAAAGCTTTATTGAAACTGTCTCCAGCAAACACTCCCAGGACAGGGACGGCTCGGGGTCAAGTACAAAGTAAAGCTTCATCTACTGTTTGAAAGTGAAATTAAAGTATCCTCGACTCATTCAAACTGAAAGTAAAGCTCTCTCTACTCTTTAAACTGAAACTAGATGGAAAGGAAAGTTCTGTCTATACTGTCCCCAGGACAGGGTCAGCACTGTGTTAAATACAGAGTAAAGCTCTCTCTACTAGTTTGAACTAAAAGAATGCTGAAAATTAAGATTTAAAATGAAAACTAAATTAAATTAAAATTAACTGAAATAAACTTCCCTTGACACCGTTCACTCTTCCTCTCAAAGCTTTGCAAAACGTATTTACCTTTTTCATTAAATACATTCTTAAGATTTAAATTAAAACTGAAACGTCACAGTAAGATTCAAAATGCTATCCTGGTGTTTCACAGAATTGGAAACCAGGATAATCAAAAACCTGGAGTGGACTTTGCAGTGATCTTATTGGTTCTGTCATCAAGTGTGTTACTTTGTGGAGGAGCCAATAGTTTTCTTTCATTTGCCTTCTATTTACTTTGATTCCAGGTACCTATCCCGTTATCCGTGAAAGGACGAATAATCCTGGAAATCGTTGAAGGAATGTCTTATTTACATGAAATGCGAATTGTGCACAAAGATTTAAAACCTGAAAATATCTTGGTTGATGCAGATTATCATATCAAGGTAAGATAGAACAATTATTTGCCTTTTAATGTCGCAAAGGTACAATTTACTGTTTTGATTTCCGACCTAGCTTTTGAGTGTTGAGCTAGTTTGCGTGATGAAAGGAAGGCTTGAATATGGTAGCCCAGTGATGATGTTATTACATGAATAATCCAGAGGTAAGGGTTAATGATCCAGGAACATAGCTCATATTTCCAGCATTGGTAAATTAGGGAATTTACATTCAATTCAGTTCTGTCCAATGAAGATAATGGGAGGAAAGTTTTTAATACAAACACAGAGGATGCTGGAGAAACTCAGCAAGTCTGGTAGCTTTTGTGGAGAGGAAACAGTTAATGATTTGAGTCCCCCATGACTCTTTTAGGCAGAGACCCAGTGCAAAAGAGATAGAAATGGTGGTGAAAGAGAAAAGGATATTTTAAAAAACTGTGTGTAAATTAAGGGGCGAATGGGAGAGAATGCTCTCGACTATAAGCAAAGTAAACAAGCCACAAACAAGACCAGGCTGTTGTGGAGGGTAAAGGCGGGGAGAGAACGTCGGAAAATTGGAGAATAGACACAGTGCGATCGGTTTCTGAAGTTATTGGAATCAATATTGAGAGCTCGAGGCTATAAAATTCCTAAGTGGAAAGACAGTGTCAGCTGACAATTGCGGGCAACTACGCGGGTGCTTACTCGGGAACATGGAGTGGGGAATGGGACTTCCCGCTGTGAGGAAGGAAGACGATCTGGAAGCTGGGGTGAGGGGCAACAAGGAGGGCACAGGACTCAAGAGGGTGGCACGTGTGGGCTTTGCAAGCCGAGAGGCTTTCTGTCTCCCTCCTTTGAGTTCCACCCCATACCCCTCTCCATTTCTCTCCTGGTTCCTGGCGCAGTTCACCACCCCAGCCTTCCTTTCCTGGGTTCTAACTTCACTAACACTCTTCTTCAATCCTGATTTACCCTCACCCCGCCCCCAGCTTCCAGTCATCTCCCCCCACCCACTTCCTCAGTCCTGATTTTGCCCCCCTGCCCTGCCCTCAGGTTGCGATCATTACCCCCCAACCTTCTCAGGTCCCAGTTTTCTCCCCCGCCCCACCCCCAGTTACCAGTCACTCCACCCTCACCCCCAGGCCCCGGAACCAAGTGAAAGGTGGGTGTTGTCCCTCCAGCTTGCAGTGTGTTTCATTGGTGCATTGCCCAGGACAGAAATATTGTTGCGTGAACAAGGGGGTTTGTGGAAATGGCCAGCAGCAAGAAGGTCAAAGGTCATTCCTACAGACAGAGCAGTCACACCGTCTGCCTTTGGTTTCTCCAATATAAAGAAGAACCACACTGTGAGCGGTGAATACAGTAGGCTACATTGAAAGAAGTACAAGAGAAATGCTGCTTCACTTGGAAAGTGTGTTTGAGGCCTTGCGCGGTGAGGAGGGGGAATGGAATGGGCAATGTTACATGTTTTGTGATTGCATGGGAAGGTGATGTGGTGATAACTCGCTTGTTTTATGCAAAGCCTCAATAACTTATAGTGAATGACCTCCAGAAATTGCACTGTATTTGTTCACTGATGGAGCATAATTGATAACAACTTGTCCATGTCACCCAGTTTTCACAAGTAAAATAGTCCCAGGTGCCTGCGTTTGGTCCATATCCCTCCATACCTATCCCATCCATGTATCTGTCCAAATGTTTCTTAAATGACAAATTGTACTCACCTTCACTACTACCTCTGGGTTGTAGTGAAAACAAATATTTTACAATTGTTTGAAGCCACAGCGTTAACTACAAAGACCTGAGTTACGATGTTTGTTTTCAAATTGGCTAGTGGCAATGCTGATATTGACAGACAGGTGTTTCAATGGCACTTCCCTGACTTACTTTTCACCAAATTTGTAACGAATGCCTGAGCCTGTTTTTTTCTAAAAAAAACAGATTGGAGACCTCTTTAGAACAGAGGAGTGCCATGCAAACACTATAATCACCAGTAGGAATCACCACAAATGAAGAAAGTGTGGATCAATAATTGGTGCTGCAGTGTTGTAGTCCAAGTTGTCCTCGGGCATATATCCATATAGCTTGGATAGGGCTCACCAATCTAAGCATTCATCCAGAAATACCAGTGCTTCATTTTGATTCCCGTAGATATGGGGTTTGAACGATCACGAAGTATTGAAGTATGGTTCGCCTGCAGTTCTTTGCAAACTGCATTTCATTTTATGCAAAAGACAAGGTGAAGCTCTGACTGCTTCTCAACCAGAATTTTTGTCATTTTGTCCTTCATCTTCTGTCTCCAGATCGCAGATCTAGGCGTAGCAATTTTTAAAACCTGGAGTCGACTGACCACTGAAGAGCAAAGGAGAAGGAGCCAAATGGGCTCAAAGTTGCAGAACAATGCAGGCACACTGTCGTACCTAGCACCGGAACATCTGCGCTCACTGAATACCAAGGCCACATACAAGTCTGACGTGTACAGTTTTGCCATTGTAGTATGGGTGATCCTGACCAACAAAGAACCATATGAAAGTATGTTGTTCATTCTGAATAATGCACCTTGCAGACTGTGATTCACAGCTTCCCAGTCTTTGATGTATTGTTTGTGTCTTTCTCAATGTAATTGTAAAACGAAAGTTGTATCTGAACAATGTATAACACCATGCAAACAAATATTGGTGTGGTACTACATTAAGCCTCGCCCATGCAGCCTTTGATGTGTCTGTATGAAGTCTTCACTGATCAAGTGCTATAGGGCTGTATAGGGCATTGGTTTAAGGTGAGAAGGGAGAGATACAAAAGGATCCAGAGCGGCAGTTTTTTCACACAGAGGGTGGTGAGTGTCTGGAACGGGTTGCCAGAGGTAGTAGTGAAGGGTGAATACAGTTTGTCATTTAAGAAACATTTGGACAAATACATGGATGGGATAGGTATGCAGGGATATGGACCAAACAATGGCAACTGGGACTATTTTATTTGTGAAAACTGGGTGACATGGACATGTTGGGTCAAGGGGCCTGTTTCCATGCTGTAACCCTCTATGACCGTGACTTGAAGTGGGGGAAAGTAATTAAGACTTTTACATTTGGAACTCCTGCCATAATTTCGCTCAGCATTGTATCTGCAGAGTTGGAACTTGGATAAACACCTAAAGAGACAAAAATTGGAGGGTCATGGAGAAAAGACAAAGGAGTGAGACTAGCTGAGTTGTTCTTGGAGAGGGTCAGCATGGACACGATGGCCTCCTGTGCTGTCGCTATTGTATGATTTTAATTCTGAATCTCTCGAGGGGTGAAAATTAAAGCAATGTGAAAGTGATATCCCACTGTCTGAAACTTGATATTTTCATGTGACTGTCATGTGATTATAAAGTTGAATGTGATTACAATTTTCACTTTAATGAAGTTTAGCCTGAACCCACCAAACCCAAAAGCAGATTTTCATCAGATTTTGGTTGACAAACCATTTTGCCGGCCTACTGTTTCCAAAATTACCCACAGTCCAAGTCCTCTGTGTATCATATTCTTTTCTTCATGTATCTCTATAGATGCACTGAACGATTCACAGGTTTGCCAGCTGGTTCTCCACGGAGATCGGCCTGATATGGATGAAATTCCTACTGAAGGCCCTGGATGCATTGTCTGTTTAATGAAGCTGTGTTGGGAAAATGACCCCGAGAAGAGGCCAACTTTTGTAGGTGAGCAGTTATCTTGAGCTGTGACCCCACTTTCTGAGGACAGCCTCCACAGGCAGTGGAAGACGGTTAGCATTACAGAGTGATGCCAACAGCGCGGGTCCATTTCCCAAAATGGCTGAGGTCACTGTGAACATCCTGCCTTCTCAGCCTCGCCTGAGACGTAGCGACCCTCAGGTTAACAGTCATGTCTCACTCTAATGAGAGAGCAGCCCTCTGGGACTCTGGTGACTTTACTACTGCCTTCAACCTGGCTCACCTTCTACCAATCGATTCAGAAGTGGTTGACTCTCTAGCCTTTTGATTAAAGAAATATGTATTGCACAAATAAAATATATGCATAGAAACCTTTGAATAGTTTAGGGCATATTTTAAACACAGCACTGAATTTAAACGTGTAGCATTTGAATGTGTTACTCATTAAGATTTGTCAAAGATCTGTCATGGTTGGCCATCACTCACCAACAATTGTCCACCTTGGAATTTCCGTGCCACTGGTCCTGGGTCCTGTAGCTGCTTGTGAGCTAATCAGTCAAATCCTAGAGCTGCATCTCAGACCACGTATTTGGAGGTGCAATTTATCTTTGGCCTTCAGGTTGTTGGCATTCCTTTCTCCAGATCCTTTTCCATACTCCCTTTTGCTGCTGGATGTTCTCAAAGAATTGAGTTCCTCCACATCAATTTCGTCAGAACCATGGTCTCCCACGTATTGACATGTTAAATTTCTTGACGGCGGCTTCAGGGAGTCTTTGAAACACGATCTTTGCCCTGCTCTCATTCGAGTGCCTTCTTTGAGCTGGGTGAAGAGATTTGCTTTGACAGTCCGCAAGAATGTGGCCAGTCCAGCGGGGTTGGTTTTGATGACCATGGCCTTGATGCTAGTGCGTTGATCCAGTGGGGTCAGTAACTTCCATAAATGGACTGAGCACCTTTTATTTTTACAAAAGGATTGCACAATGTCTTATTAAATAAGAGTGCAGCCAAGGGATGGAGCAACCGCAGTCAAGACTGGATATGCCATCTACTTTTGCACGCATGCATGTTTCTTCAAAGTAAATAACACTTGACAAGGCAAAGTTTGGTTTGAATCATCAGTTCTGTTAAAGCACAGTCAGGTGAAAGACATCCACCAGTAGGTATTGTCCGAGTCACCTGGTTTCTTTAGGATAACTTGTAGGAACAAAATAAAGGAGGTGGCATTTCTAAGAGGAGATGGTGGTGTGGTGGCAATGTAACAGGATTAATAATCCAGCAATCCGGGCTACTGTGCTGGGGACATGATTTAAATTTCACTCTACTGGTGGAATTGAAACATCAATTATTTTATTCAAGGCTGAGATGGGCAGATTTTTAATCAGTAAGGGAATCCAGGATTTTGGGGAAAGACAGGAAAGTGGAATCAAGGATCATCAGGTCAGCCGTGTTCTCGATTGGCAGAGCAGACTCAATGGGCCGAATGGTCAACTTCTGCTATCAGGTCTACTGGTCTATAACTGTTCTTCTTTGATAAAATGTCGACTGAATATTTTCTGGATCACATCCTATTTACCTGCAGTCTGCATCTTCTCTCAGTACTTCACTGCCTGGCTGATGTTTTAGTAATTTGGGCTTGATTTTTAAAAGCTTCTTTCAATGGGATAATTTTAATTTTGAGCTATCATTATATTTATTTTCCATTTAAAAAAAACAATGAAAGGGAGACTTGTGTGAATTTTAAAATGAGCACTCCATTCAATATCAGGTATATTACATAATTTGACCACCCCCAAATAAACCTGTCCCTCTTCTACATTCCCCCCTCACTGACCAAAGATTAAATAGTTTTGCAATGTGTTGGTGAGATGTCCTTGTGAAGGCTCAGACTTGTCTAATGTTGGGACTCCAGTAAGGAGGAGCTTCTATTTAACACAACAACCTAGTCCTGACTGAGTGCCATTTGGGAGAAACCCCTGTTTTGTAAAAGTGTAAAACTAATGCTTTTATTCTAATTTTTTGTGTAAGATTGCTGAAAAATAATTGCTTTCAAATAACAACCTTCTCTCTTTTTTTCAGATTGTGACTTGCAATTCCGACCATTCTATGAAGAACATCTACATAAAAATATTGTTCCGGATTTGACCAAATTAAGAGTGCGTATTGTTCCAAAAAGTATGATCAAATATGCAGTGTTAATTTTGCAATGTGAATTTCATGTCCTTTTTTTTTAAAAATATGTGTGAATGCTAATAATGTTTGTCTTTTCCAAAGTGAAGATGAAAAGGCAGCTTTCTGTTAATCTGCCAATCGCAGCTGAGGTTTTAGTAATGCACTGATCATTACCAGCCGGCTTTAATCAGAATTTGAACTTTTTCTACACATTTTTTGCGTAGGATATGGGTGTCACTGGCAAAGCCAGCATTTAGTACCCATGCCAAATTGCCCATGACCTGAACAGCTTCTGGGCCATTTCAGAGTACAGTTAGAGTCAACCACATTACTATTTATCTCGATACACATGTAGGCTAGACGAGGTAAGCACGTCAGGGAACCAGATAGGCTTTTTAAACGCAATCAACAATTGGTTTATGGTGCGCAGTCATCATCACTGAGACCAGCTGTATATTCCAAATTTTGGTAATTGAAACTAAATTCCATTAAGGATTTGAACTCGTAACTTGGGGATTGCCATTCTAGTGATTTTTATCATGATGCAAAAACGTGGTAAAGTGTTAAAACAATAATGCTATGGAAAAAGAATTGATAAACTTGTCAAAGGGGATTTTGGCGAAAGTGCTTACAGGGGATCTGGCAAACGTAATAATCTTAGAGGTTTAACATCTTAGATAATTGAAAGGGTTAATTTGCGAAAGTCAGAAAGAAACCGAGCCAAACGGATTTGGAAATGTAAGAATTTGAGACTAATACAGAAGAGTATTATTGGGAGGGTGGAAGCATTAGAGGTTTGTAGATGACATATGCAGTGGGAGCAGTTTGTAAACAGCAGATGAAATGGTTGAAGACAGAGTCAAAATATTTGGAAACCAGCACATGTACTCTGAGGCCTGTGGGATTCAATTAACAACAATGGGATTGGATTTATCAAGGAAATATTGATAAAACTCTTCATTTGTTTTTATGGAATATGGGAGTCGCTGATTGCGCCAGCATTTATTGCCTGTTTCTAGTTGCCTTGAGAACGTGCTGGTGAGCTGCCTTCTTGAACCGCTGCACCCCATGAACATAGGACCATAATGCAATTAAAGAGGGAATTCCAGGTCAATATTGTCCCAACAACACTGAAGGAACTGTATTTCCAAGTCTGGCATGGAGGGGAACTTGCTCTGACTGCATTGCCCAGTCTGCCAAACTCTACCACACAGGGGGCAAGGACAACAATCTCAAGGGGCGGCACGGTGGCTCAGTGGTTAGCATTGCTGCCTCACAGTGCCAGGGACCCAGGTTCAATTCCACCCTTGGGCAACTGTTTGCACATTCCCCCTGTGTCTGTGTGGGTTTCCTCCGGGTGCTCCGGTTTCTTCCCACAGTCCAAAGATGTGCAGACTCGGTGGATTGGCCGTGCTAAATTGCCCATAGTGTTCAGGGATGTGTAGATTAGGTGGGTTATAGGGGGATGGGTCTGGGTGGGATGCTCCGAGGGTCGGTGTGGACTTGTTGGGCCGAAGGGCCTGTTTCCACACTGTAGGGATTCTATGACTTTATGAAACATCACCAGTACATTTCCAAATCACAAACTGTCCCATGTGAGGCTTAAATCTGGATCAATTTCATGGACTCCGTTATCTTACACAACGTAACTGTTATAGGAGCAACACCACAAGCAGCTAAGTGAAGCAGGCCCACTACTACCTTCTCAGGGCAGCTAGTCTGAGCAATGGATGCAGTCTTGCAGCACTTTCCACAGTCTTTATTTATGAAAAGGTTGCTGTTTGTGACACCTTCCTGTGTGAATGCCATGTTTGCTGACATAATGGTGACCATTCATTCACTGGCTAGGCCAGCATTTATTGCCCATCCCTAATTACCCAGAGGGCAGTTAAGAGTCAACCACGTTGCTGTGGGTCTGGAGTCACGTGTAGACCAGTTCAGGTAAGAATGGCATATTACTTCCCAAAGGGACATGAGTGAACCAGATGGGTTTTTCATGGTTGTCATTAGACTCTTAATTCCAAATTGTTTTTATTGAACTCAATTTCCATCACCCACCATGCTAGGATTCAAACCAGCCCCCAGAAAATTACCTAGATCTCTGGATTAAAAGTCTAGTGGTAATACTACTAGGCCTCCAACGTCCAAGTACAGAGTAAAGTCCCATATAAATAAATCTTCAATTTCATCAAACTGTGCTACACTAGCAAAATGAAATGGGAGCCGGTTACTGGTATGATTACTGAGAATAATTAGCAGACATGGCAAACTCAGGCTGATCATCAGGAAAAAGAGAAATAAAGACATCTTTGCACCGGTAAAACACCTTTCCATATTCAGTAGAATTGCTGAGATATTCCAAAGTGCTTTATATTGTCAGTTACTTTTCAAGGGTAGCGAATGTTGCTTCGTAGAGCATATTATCACTCTCTCCTCAAAGATGAGCTACTCAAAACCAATAACCCACAGTCAAGATCTGGGAGGTAGCTATGTAGCTGATTCCATGGCCTTATAGTGGGATTCATGTAGCCTTTGGCCCTGTTTTAACCACTTCAGGAATTGTCGCTGAAGAAACCGACTGCTCCAAGACAGCTAGTGAAAAGAATGCAGTCTTTGCAAGTGGATTGTATCGGTCTAATGCCGGAAACCCCGACAACAGGTAACTCTTACATTTTGTGAGTAGCCAAATGATTTTGTTAAAGTGTGAACAAGATGCAATGTTAATTTTTCATGTGTCTGTAATAATTCACTTCTGAAGAATTTTATGCTGAATCAAAGGTTAATTGTTTATTGTGACACCTTGTTTTTAGACACCAGATAAAAAAAGTTACTGAGTTCTCTGTCTAACCATGTCGGCCTGTTTTTCCTATTCCGATTCCTTCTCATGCTCCAGTTTCCATCTCCTCTCCCTCTCCTGAAGATGCTGCATTCAATTCACCCATGCCAGGGACTTGCTGGTACCTTGAGTGAATCCATATGATGAACGGCAGCGGAGAGTGAAAAAAAAGGCGGACTTGCATCAATGTCTGGCCTTTCACACTATCAAGGTGGCCCCAAAAATGCTTTTCAGCCAATGAAATGCCTCTGAATTTGTAGCCTCTGTTGTAATTTGGGAAACCTTCCACACAACAAACTCCTACAGAGAGCATTGCAATGATGGCCAGTTAATGATCTGTGATGCAGATTGACGCCAACAGCACAAAGTTCAGTTCCCACATCAGCTGAAGTTACCATGAATGTTCCGCCTTCTCAACTTCACCCCTAGCCTGAGGTGTGGTGACCCTCAGATTAAACCACCACCAGTCCTCTCTGTCTAATGAGAGAGCAACTCCAAGGTCCTCTAGGATTATGGTAACTTTACCTTATCTTAATATTGGCCAGGACATAAGCAGGTCTGCTGTACTCATCTCCAAAATATTGCCATGGGAGTATTGCACGGTTTAAACTCTCATCCAAAAGACATTATTTTTACATTGAAACACTGCCCCAGTTCTGCATGGAGTGTATTGACTCCTGGGATAAAGTGTCCAACATGGGATTTGAACCCACAACTCCAGCGAGACTGCTGCCAAGTGAGTTATTGCAGGTCCTTTCCTTGCTTGTTGTCTGTCCATACCTATGTTTCAAGCACAGCCACTGAATAATGATCAAGAGTGGGCACTCTGGCCAGTTTTCTCTTCCACATCAGGGTTAGTAAGGGCAAGGTAGCATTCCCACTGTTGCACTGGCTGTAGTCAGTAAACCCAATGCAGTCATGGTGGCTCAGTGGTTAGCACAGCTGCCCCACAGCACCAGGAACTCGGGTTTGATTCTACCCTCGGGCGACTGTCTGTGTGTAGTTTGCACATTATCCTGTGTGGGTTTCCTCCCACAGTCCAAAGATGTGCAGGCTAAGTGGATTGGCCATGCTACATTGCCCGTAGTGTCCAGGGATGTGTAGATTAGATGCGTTATAGGGGATGGGTCTAGGTAGGATGCTCTGAGGATTGATGTGGATCTGTTCTGAGGAAGGGTCACCGGACCCCAAACATTAAGTCTGATCTTTTCTCCACAGATGCTGCCAGACCTGCTGAGCTTTCCCAGCAACTTCTATTTTTCTTGGTGTGGACTTTGTTGGGCCGAAGGGCCTGTTTCCACACTGTAGGGATTCTATGATCTACGATCACTGGGGAACCCACTCATAATCTTAGCAGTTGAACCACTGGAGAACCTTTGATCACTTCCTATAATGAGATAGAGCTCTACAGAAAAAGGCCCTTTGGCTCATCACATCCACACTGGACAAAAAAAACTATCTAACTATTTTCCAGCACTTTGCCCATAGCCTTGTATGCACATCTGAAAACTTGTTAAATGTTATGAAAGTTTCTGTCTTTACCAACCTGACAGATAGTGAATTCCAGATTCCCTTCACCCTCTGGGTGAAAAAATTTCTCAAATTTCCTGTAAACCTTCTGCTCCTCTACTTAAACCTATCTCCCCTGCATAATGATCCCTCTATCAAGGAGAAAAGTTTCTTAGCATCTGCTGTGTCTATGCCCCTCAAAATTTTATACATATCAATCTTGTCCCCCCTCAGACTCCTCCGCTATTAGGAAAACAACCTTAGTCTGTCCAATCTCTCTTCATAATTGAAACTTCCAGCCAAGGCAACATCCTGGTAAATCTCCTCTGCATCCTCTCCACTTCTGTCACATCCCTTCTATAATGTGGACTCTAGAACTGTACTCAATACTCTAGCTGTGGCCTAACAAGCTTTTATACAGTTACAGCATAACCTCCCTGCTCTTAAATTCTATGCCTCAACTAATAAAGACAAGTATCCCATATGCCTTCGTAACCATTTTATCCACCAGACCTGATACCTTAAGAGACCAGTGCTCAGACACACCAAGTTCCCTCCGTGCTGCCTCGTTTGACCTGCCCTAGTGCATTGCCTCACATTTATCCAGATTGAATTCCATTTGCCACTGATCAGCCCATCCGACCAGACCATCTATATCCTCTTGTAGTCTGTCCTCCTCACTATTTGCCACCCCACCAATCTTTGTATATCTGCAAATTTACTGACCAACCCTTCTACATTCAAGTCTAAATAATTTATATAAACCACAAAGAGCAAGGGCCCCAACATTGACCTCTGTTGAACCCTACTGGATCCTGACTTCCAGTGAGAAAAACAACTCTTAACCGCCATCTTAGGTTGGGGATCAATGATCGTGAGCATAGATTTAAGGAAAAGGGAAGGAACTTTAGAGGGGATGTGAGGAAAAGATCTTTCACTCGGAGGATGGTGGGAATCTGCAATTCACTGTCTGTGAGGGCAGCAGAGGCAGAAAGCTTCATAACATTTAAGTTTATTTAGATGTGCACTTGCAATGCCCAAGGCATACAAGGCAATAGGTCAACTGGTGGAAAGTGGGATTAGAATAGTTAGGTGGTTATTTTTGACTGGTGCAGACTCGATGGGCTGAAGGATCTTTTTCTGTGCAATGGATCTCTTTGACATTTCTTTTTCCCTCAAGGAAAAAACAGCAGAAGTACTAACAATCTATTTTTAAACTTTACAGACGATCCAAATTCCTTGCATAGCTCCCAAGGTATCCCTGCGAATGGCAACACTCTGGAAACAGAGTTTACATCCTGTAAGTTAAGTGAACCTGCTGTGAATGAGCCTGACAGTGGTATTTGGCAGGAAAACGACGATCTGCAGGTCAGAAGAAAACTAAACGAGGAATTGAATTACCACATGATGGGCAGCCGCCTGGACGCTTCTGTTTCTCAGCGTAGGATCGAAGAGATCTTTTTGGAAAGAAGCAAAAGAGTTTCCAACGAGCCGGATTTCACCAACCATTTTCCTTGCGTGCTTCCTTCTCAGCGCCTGCCAGACGTGCCTAGTGCAGCGCAGTCTATGGACTTGTACGGTTCTGAAGAGTCAAACTTTCGTCAGGAGCTCCACAAAACAGGGGATGCCTCGGGAACTTATTTGAACTATGCACAACCTGTCAAGGAAGAAGCCGGTTGGCAAGATGCCAGTAAAATAAGTCCGTCAGGAATTCCTACTGGACAGGGGGGTACTCTGTACAGAACTCCAGTCCATATGCCTGTCACTGAGACTGGTATCCCACAAATTAGACAACCTGGTATCTGGACTCCATATCAGCACACAGGTAATGTACTGTCGGTTCAGTTTGTTTTAAGAGTTGCCATTTGTGTGTTTTTGATTTGTTATCCTGCCTGTTAAAAGCCTCTCACCGGGTCAGAAATACCGTGGACCTAATTTATGAACATTTGACTTGCGAACATTAGTACTTACGAACACGACTCGTGATAGGGGTTTAATTTTAAAGATCGTTTCCTGTACTGGCAAATAGCTATTTTATATTGTTCTGCACTGTGTTCTGACTTGCATACAATTTGGCTTGCAAGTCGTCTGTAACCTGGGGATTACATGTAAATGGTAATTGAATGGTTGCCGATATTTGTTGGTCCTGGACAGAGAGCCTGCATTAGTGCTACTGGGCTTTCAGAAGTCTCTTTTCCTGAGCTTGATGGCACAGAAGCAGGCCATCCAACCCGAACAGGCCATGCGAGAGTTCATATTCCACTTGAACCTCCTCCTCTCTTGTCTCACCTAAATTCATTATTGTAACAGCAGTCATTTGTATAAATGATTGGATGTGAATATAGAAGGTATGGTTAGTAAGTTTGCAGATGACGCTGAAATTGGAGATATAGTGGACAGTGAAGAAGGTTTTCCAAGAATTCAACAGGACCTTGATCAGGAGCAAACTACTGTGGGTGCTGGAATCTGTACTGAAAACAGAAAATGCTGGAGATTCCAGCAGAGATCACAGAGAATGTAACTGGCAAAGATAAAAGAAAGAGAAGGAATGGGTTCATAATTTGAAGGTGAACTCGATATCGAACCCAGAAGGTTATAAAGTGCCTAGATGAGATGTTGCTCCTCCAGTTTTCACTGTGATTTGCTGGAACATGACGAGTGGGCACGCAAGCAGGAGCTGTGTCAAAATGACCGGCTATGGGAAGGTCGGGACTTTGATCACATGGAACGATGGGCCGATGACTGGCGGATGGAATTTAGTTTAGATAAATGTGAGGTGTTGGATTTTGGTAAGGTAAATCAGGGCAGGACTTATACAGTTAATGGTAAGGTCCTGGGAAATGTTGCTGAACAAAGAGACCTTGAAAATGGAGTCGCAGGTAGATAGGGTAGTGAAGAGGGCATTTGGTACACTTGCCTTTATTGGTCCGTGCATTGGGTATAGGAGTTGGGAGGTCATTTTGTGGCTGTACAGGTTTTGGTTAGGCTACTTTTGGAATACTGCATTAAATTCTGGTCTCCATCCTATAGGACAGATGTTGTGAAACTTGAAAGGGTTCAGAAAAGATTTACAAGGATGTTGCCAGGGTTGGAGGGTTGGACCTATAGAGAGAGGCTGAATAGGCTGGGGCTATTTTCCCTGGAGTGTCAGAGGCTGAGGGATGACCTTATAGTGGTTTATAAAATAATGAGGGGCATGGATAGGGTGAGTAGCCAAGGTCTTTTTCCCAGGGTAGGAGAGTCCTAAACTAGAGGGTTTAAGGTTAGAGGGGAAAGACTTAAAAGGGACCCAAGGGACAATTTTTTTCACGCAGAGGGTGGTGTGTGTATGGAATGAGCTGCCAGAGGAAGTGGTGGAGGCGGTTGGAATTACAACATCTAAAAGGCATCTGGATGGGTATATGGATAGGAAGGGTTTAGAGGGATATGGGCCAAATGCTGGCAAATGGGACTACATTAATTTAGGATATCTGGTTGGCATGGACAAGTTGGACCGAAGGGTCTATTTCCATGCTGTACAACTCTATGATTCTAATCCCTTCACCCTGATAGTGGTATTGGGATCCATGCGATAGCACTCTCTCTAGTTTCTTCTGAAGTTTCTTTTGGATTTCTGGTAACTATCTTACATCGATGGCCTCTAATTGTGTTCTTCCCTGAAGAGGAGCAATTCTCTCTGTATTGACTCAAAACCTTCCATGATTTTAAAGATTTCAATTAGGTCATCCCTCAGCCCACTCTTTTTTTCAAGGGAATAGCTTCATAACTTTAAAGGTACAATAGCATAAATGAAGCACGACGCAATGTCATTCTCAAATTTATTCCAAAACAAACCTTACCAAGTTAAAATATTCCTATGTGAAAAGGAATGCATGGAAACCATTGCTGATTTCCCCCAATATCAATATTCTAGAGTGGGGTGGGGTGGTCACTGGTCCGCAGCTGTTTCCTATGTTCTTAAATCTCCCTCAAAATAGCTTCAGAGGATTGGAGAGAACTGGACGAGTTACTGTAAATACAGCAGCTATAAGAGTGGGTCAGAGGCTAGGAATACTGCAGTGAGTAACTCACCTCCTGACTCCCCAGACCTGTCCACCATCTACAAGGCACAAGCCAGGAGTTTGATGAATACTCCCCACTTGCCTGGATGAGGGCAGCTCCAGCAACACTCAAGAAGCTTGATACCAGCCAGGTGCACCCAGCTTAATTGGCACTTCATCCACCACCTTCAATATTCACTCCGTCCACCACCAATATACAGTGGCAGCAGTGGTACCATCTTATCAAATGCACTGCACCATTCGCCTTCGTCAGCACCTTCCAAACCTGTGACCACCTGCACCTGGAAGGACAAGGGCAGCAGATGCATTGGAACATTGACTGCAGGTTCCAAGCCATGCTGTCCTGGAAAGATATCACCGTTCCTTCACTGTCATAGGGTCAAAATCCAGGAACTCGCTACCTAACAGTATTGTGGGTGTACCTACACCAAATGCACTGCAGTGATTCAAATAGGCAGCTCACCACCATTTTCTCCAGCAATTATTGATGGCCAACAACAACTAAGTAGAAAACGCACATCCAATGGGCAAATTTTAAAAAAAATTGACTTGTGTTGCAATTAGTTTTTAAAAAAAGTCATGGAAATACATACCGGAGAGACAGCGTTTTAAATTATAGTCAATTTGCAATAGAACGGTGACTGATCTGTTAGACTATTAAATCTATTGTATGAAATCTCAACGCTTACATATTGTTAACCCCATCCTTATTTATACATTGAAAAATGTTTATGAATGCTTTAGTTTTTAAGCGATTTTAATAACGCAGTCGTTTGCTCAGGAGACACCTTACTGCTGACCAGAATGAAATTACATAGATACAAATATCATGGTGGGAGGTAGGCCACTGGTTAATCAGCATCAAAAGGAAAAGACCTGTATTTATATAGAATCTTTCACAAACCATCAGGCAACCCAGAATCACTGCTCCTTGTACTAAAATACATTTCCTTTAGGGGGAGCATTCTTTATTTCAATTCCATTTCCATGACTTTGTGAACTTCCTGTAGCTGTCGACCTCCAGGTGGGTCTTTAACCTCAAGTAGGCAGCAGAAACACTTTGACACCACTATCCTGGCTAATTATCCGTTTGCCTACAGAACACCAGTCATTGTATGTCCAAAGTCCATTGTGAGTAAACTATTTTCAGGCATTCCTAATCTATATGGGTTGTATAAAGCTAATTTTTAATACCTGTAAAATCGATGTCTGTGCATTCTTTTTCTTCCTTTTCAAGTGACTTTGTGACCATTTAACACCTATTTGCACTGTAGACCACACTCTACTGGTTCAGGATAGCTGTGTGGTTATGCCAGTGGATAGGCTCGGCAGGACTTTGTGGCATACATAGTTAAAACATGAGCAATCCATGTGGTATATGTTGCTGCGAATCAATATGTGGGGTTGGGCACAAAGGGAATCGAGAGATTTAGGAACTGGGCAGGAAGCCATGATCTTACTGAATGGTGGAATGGACTTAAGGTGCCCTCTGGCCATTTCCTAATGCTGTTTTATTTTTAAAAGATGGTATAGATATTTGAAAAAAAATTATTCTGGGTGTGTGCGATTCACTGGCTAGGCTAACGTTTATTGCTCATCCCTAATTGCCCTTGAGAAGCTATGTGGCAGGCTCCTTTGATGAAGTGGAAATTGTAATACCTGGTAAATTAGTCTGAGCTAAGAATGGCTAACCTCAGCTTAGTGTCCTGCTGAATGCGTGTAAATAACACATTTAGACGTTTGATGGTGTTGGTGTCAAAGGCTTGGTATCAAATATTTTATTCCCCGATTGCCAGTAATATTTACTGTAACATTTGGGCACATAACTGAAATAATGGTGTATTTACAAGCTGACTCTCTCCCAAATCGTTCCAAATGTTTTTTTTTGTTGTCATTTTTATTTCATGTTCAGGAAATAAAACTGAATCCAGTAACTATATTGGGAACGTTCTTCAGAATCTTCCAAGCCAGTTAGTGCGGACTGAAGCCAACAAGATGAGTTATTTTGGCCAAGGTAAGGCTTTGATTCAGATAATAGTCTTTAACCATCCGACACAGAAAACTAGAGTCACAACAAACTCATTCTATGTTCTTTGTGGGAACCAGAATTGGCCACCAAGGCAGAATGTGGAAAGCGTAAGACATCGGAACAGAAATTAGGCCATTTGGCCTAAACAGGATGAGGAAGTGGCCAGATGTCACCTTAAGTCCAATCCACCATTCAGTAAGATCATGGCTGATAAGTTCCTCAACCCCATTCTCCCACTTTCTCCCCGTAACCCTTGATCTCTTTGATAATCAAGAACCTATCTATCTCGGTCTTAAATGTACTCAATGACCTGACCTCCACAGCCTTCCGTGGCAGTGAATTCCATAGATTCACCACTCTCTGGCTGAAGAGAGCTCTTTGATAATCTGTAAAATTTACTTCAGAGCAGAGTTTTTAGGACGGTGCCTTTTTAATGTGTGTGCACGCGTACTGATGTACGGAGTGTTAACGGGCAAACTGTATTTTTGGGACTGTTAGGCAACATGATCCATGAGTTAGCTGTATAATTAGCAAACAGTACACTGTGGAGACTGAGCAGATAGGGAAGATGGGAAATCAATCCCTCAGATTTCCCTGCTGCGTGTCCTAAAGTGATTGAAGAGAAGCATCAGAGGGCAGCTAGGCTTATATTGGAATGATCATGGAATTTCAGGATTTGTATGATTTTATGGAAATGGAGCCCAGTTAAGCGATGCCTCAATTTTACAACTTTCACCCTTATTTTCAAATCTCTCCATGGCCTTGCTGCCCCCTATCTCTGTGTATTCCTCCAGCTCTTCAATATTGAAATACCCATTCCTCTAATTCCAACTTCTTGAGTTTTCCTTATTTCAATCACTCCACCATTAGTGGACGTGCCGTTAGAAACCAGGGCCCTAAGTTCTAGAATTCCTTTCCAAATCTCTCCTCCTCTCGACCTTGCTTTCCTCTTTTAAGACACTCCTTAAATCTGACCTTTTTGACTTTTTTTTTGGGGTGATCTGCCACATAATTTCCAAGGTGCTATATTTTGTTTCACAATGCCCTCCCACCATGAAGTGCCTGGGATGTTATTAAAGAGGCTATAAAAATGCAAGTCTTTTTTGTAATGATGTCATGACACAAGAGCGCCACAATGTGGCGCCACATAGTCTGGACAGATTGGTTTAGTTCAGTTTGGCAAGTTCCCAGTTCTCAGCCACAGGAAATGAGAGGAAGGCACTGAGTTGAACGAGGCAGTGCATTTCCAGAACAAGGCAGTGCATTTAGCAATGAACAGGTTGATAGCCCAAAGCAAAATATGTTCAAGTCTTAGCAGCAAGGTGTCCACCTAGTCAATTCGAAAGGGAAGTCAATAGCGAAGGAAACAAAATGAGGTTACAAACACACAAAACCAGAAGTGGTCCCTTTCCAATCACTAAATTTAACACTGTTAGTTCTGAAGGAGAGTCAAGATGTTAATTCTGTTTCTCTCTCCACAGATGCTGCTGAGTTTCTTCAGCATTGTCTGTGCATGTTTCATAAAATCATAATATATTAGATATTCTCTAGTCAACCTGTTCAGACACACCTCTGGAGCAGGTGGGACTTGAATCCAGGGTCCTCTGGACCAGAGGTAGGAACACTGTCATTATGCCACTAGAGCTACAAGGTATCAATGTATTTAACATCATGTCCTGTAAAACCGTTTAGGGAACCATTACCCAGCAGTGATTTGTCCCAAATTGGCCAATTATTGAGCAGAGTTAAGGCTCACTGTCCACTTAGGGACATTAGGCTAGATCTCGAAGGTGGAGGATCATCAAAACAGAAAATAGGAGCAGGAGGAGGCCATTCCACCTTTCAAGCCTGATTATTCAATATGATCATGGCTGATTATCCAACTTAGTAGTACTCTGTTCAGGCTTTGCCCCATACCCTTTAATCCCTATAGCCCTAAGAACCATACATGTCTCTTTTTGGAAACAATAGGAGGCCTCCCAGCACTGAGGGAGCAGCAGAGAGAGAGCATCTCTACCTTGAGGTGACATCTCAAAAGACTTAGCAATCAGGTCACTGCTGTGGAGGGGAAACCAGACAATTTGGAGTTGGAGTGCAACGCTTGCCTGAGATGGCCTAGGTCTCAGTGCCTTGGGACCACAGTGGCTGGAAAATTAACAATTTTTGGGCAATTGACTTTTAGTATCCCTCTAAGAGTAAAAGAGGCCATTGAGTCCACACCAGCCCTCTGAAGAGCATCGCACCCAGACCCAGCCCCCTACCAGATCCCTGTATTTCCCATGCCTAATCCGCCGAACCTGCACATCCCTGGACTATGGGGCAATTTACCAAGGCCAATCCACCTAACCTGCACATCTTTGGTCAGTGCGAGGAAACCAGAGCACCCGGAGGAAACTCACGCAGACACAGGGAGAATGTACAAACCTAACATAGACTGTCACCCCAAGGCTGAAATCAAACCCAGGTTCCTGGCACTGTGAGGCAGTAACTGTGCCATCATGCCACTTTAATTTCTATGAAATGGTTCCACTTGTAGGTGGGCACTCTGCCTCCATAAAAATGACCCTGGGGATCAAATGGTGCCAACAGCCTACAGTCATTCACTCATAACACCCACTCCCCATTCGGGTCTGTGCTTAACCACATCAGGAGATAAAACTCTGGGCCACAGTGTCCACTTTAATCTAAAACAATTGCAAAAACAAGTAAGTTTCTTGCTTAACCATGTATTCTTAAAGAAGCTATTATGTTCTAATCAGATATCACTTTTTTTTAAAGAAGGTATAGCAAACATCTCCATAAATAATGCCAGGGGAGTTCAGGTCGGCAATAATAACACGATGAATATTGGAAAACAGGTTTTCAATACAAAAAAGAAGAGTGGCTCCAAAGTTTCCAGGCAGATACAAAGTGCTATGCAATTTAATATTGATGGTAAGTCAGAATTTTATACTTGCAGGTAAATCAATTAACTGCCTATTGTTGCAGAGAAAGGAAATGCAGTTAAATTAACAATGGTGCAGATTTTGAGGTTGTAACAGCTCAGTAATGGAGCTAACTCAGAAGAACCCTATAGTGTATACAAATGCACAGGTCAACATGGAAATTTGGGAAATACTGTCCAATATGTCTCGTTCACCCAAAAGCTCCTCAACACAAGGATTTCACTGAGTGACACAGCATTCAGATAAACGAAGGGTGAGAAATTGCTGTACATTTTCACTGGATTCTCACAAAACACTCCAGAAAAAAGTAAGTTCTTGTTCTTTCAAGTTAAGCGACATTCTAGTAATGTAATAAGTCTTAACTACTACCACAAACCCTCACTGCCTCTGAAAACATAATGTGGAGGTGCCGGTGTTGGACTGGGGTGGACGAAGTCAGAAGTCACATAACACCAGGTTATAGTCCAAGAGGTTTATTTGAAACCACAAGGTTTTGGAGCGTTGCTCCTTTGACAGGTGGTACAGAAACTGAGGTCTTGTGGTCAAGCCTAAGGAATTGGGACTTTTTGATTCAGAGGGTAGATTGATCGCTTGTGCATGCATTTTTATATCTTGCATAAAACCCACCTTGTTAACATCTCACTGCCCCACTCCCAGTTATTGAGTCTTTTCTCTAATAACTCACCATGTGCTGATTCTGCTTCTGCACCAACGCCACAACTGAAGGAATCTTAGATGCAAACATACCAAATAGGTGCGTTTGTAGCCTCTTCAGCCTCTCAAGCCTATTCGTCATTCAGTAAGATCTGTTTGTGTTTGGAATTCCACATTCCAATCTACTCTGATAACTCTTTAACCCCGTGCCTAACAAGAATTGATTCACCTCTGTCTTAAAACTATTAATGTGTCCAGCCTCTGCTTCCTTCTGCAGCAGAGAGCTCCAACATTGCATTATCCTCTGAGGTGAAGAACGATTCCCTTCCTCTGTGTCATAAAAGGGTGAGCCCTAATTTTAAAACAGTGTCCCCTAGGTCTGGACTCCTGCTCAAGAAGAAAGATCCTTTCCATATCGACCTGGTCAACAACAGGCATGACCTTACACATGACAATAAAGTCACTCCTCATTCTTCTAATCTCCAGTGGAAACAAGCCCAGTCTGTCCAACTCAACCTTATAAGACTTAAAATTGCATTGAATATAACAAATATCAAAACAACAGAGCAATGCCTGAGTGAAAATAATCTATAACGTGTGCTTCCAACTGTGGTTTATAAGAGGTCAACTGTGTTAAGGGTATGGAGTTATAGTCAGCCCATCCAGGCCTTGTTAACTGTCCATTGAGCAACGCATTCAGCTCCTATTCCCTATCTCTGCTCCTGGAACCTGGCAGGTTTCTTTCATTCAAGTATTTCGCTCCAGTTTCCTTCTCGTGGATATCGAGTTCCTCTATGCAAGCAAAAAGCTGCAGGTGCTAAAGATCTGAAATAAAAATGGAAAATGCTGGAGAAACTTGGCAGCATCTTTGGAGAGGGAAAGTTGTGGCTGGGGGCCAGGGTTAGGTATTGGGTGGGAATGGAATGGAATGAGGAGGAATATTTTGACCCTGGCATAGGAAATGGGAATGTCAGGGAGTTCATTTTGTAGGTGGTACACACTGTAGCCCCAGTGTGCCAGCAGTGTTGCTACCTGTTGCAGAATTTTCAGTCTCCTGTGGGATTTATATCTCCCACAGAGTTTCAGGGCAGCAGTAACTAACCCTCCTCAGGGTTTGGATGCTGGTGAGGGGGTTGGCTCAATATCATGTGGAGGTGGTAAGGCTCTCCATTATTAACTGTGATTTGATTTGATTTGATTTGATTTATTATTGTCACGTTATTCTAGGTACAGTGAGAAGTTTTGTTTTGCATGCAGTACAGGCAGATCACACGAAACAAAGTGCATAGGGTATTAGAACAGAGTGAGGAATATGATGTTACAGCTGCAGAGAAGGTGCACAAGGAGTGAGGCCAACATTAACTTTGAAATTTGAAAGGTCCATTCAGAAATCCAGTAACATGGGGAAAAATCTGTTCCTGAATCTGTTGCTCCGTATGCTTAAGCTTTTGTATCTTATGCCTGACACAAGAGGTTGGAAGAGATTATAACCAGAATAGGAGGGGTATTTGATGATGTTGGCTGCCTTTCCAAGGTAGTGAGGAGTTACATAGAGTCAGTGGATGAAAGGTTGGCTTGTGTGATGGACTGGACTGTGTACACAACTCTGTGTAGTTTCTTCCAATCTTGGGCAGAGCAGCTGACATACCAAGCCTGATGCATCCAGTTAGAATGCTTTCTATCGTGCATCTGTAAAAATAGGTGCTCTTACGCCACTCTTAGAGCGCTGTAAATGGTTTTTCCTGCAGGTTTGTTTCTCTTTTATTGAGTCCTATTGAAGAAAGTGACACTCACTCTTGGTTTATTGTTTCCTCCGTTCTCAGATAATACCCCAGTTCGAGAATCTCACCTGGACCTGCTCCGGGGAGAGCTGGGCAAAGATTGGAAACACTGTGCTCGTAAGCTGGGCTTCAGAGAGTCTGAAATCGATGAGATTGATCATGATTATGAAAGGGATGGATTGAAAGAAAAGGTTTACAAAATGCTACACAAGTGGCAAATGAAGGAAGGATCCAAAGGTGCTAGTCTTGGCAAGCTCGCTCAAGCCCTTTGTTCATGTAACAGATATGACCTGATTCGCAGTTTACAAAACTGTATCTAAATTTACTCTGTTCCAATGTAAGGCATCTGGCTGGAGCTGGACCTGACTCTTTGCAGCTTTGGTGTCATATTTGACCCTGAAATGAGTTTCTGGTCACATACCTCACTGTCACTAAGACCACCCATTTCCACCTCTGAAGTATTCCTTGATTGCAGTCCTCTCTCAGCTCATTCGCAACTTGCCGAAGCTTTTATCATCTCCAGACTTGTCCAATCCGAGTTCGACCAGCCTTCAACTTTCTACCCTCTGTAAACTCAAAAGTTGTCCAACCCTTTACTGTCTAAACTCGCATCAAGGCCTATTCCTCTATCATCGCTGTGTTCGCTGGCTCTTACTGGTTTCTGTTTAAGCAACGCCTCATTAGTAAAATCTCAGCCTTTGCTTTTGCCAAGCCTGCGATTACTGAGCACACGTCATAACATTGGTGTAACCTTACCATACAACTCCACTAGTGCAGAGACTGAGGTCTTGTGGTCAAGTCCAACAAGTTGGGACCTTTTTGATTTGGAGGTAAGAATGATCGCTTATGCATGCGTTTTTATATCCTTCGTAAATCTAAAATGCATTTCTATTCTCAAGCCCTTAGAAGCTTTGACATCATTTGCTGACCTTCTCTCTTCTCTCTAGACGTCGGTAATGAAGTTATTGTGTAGCAGCCCCAGTTTAAGGCCTTGTTCCTTTGGACAAATTCTCAGTCATTTTGTGCCTTTGAAATTGAAGAAACTGATCTTCAAAGGTGTGTTAATGCGGTCATCGAGCCAAATTTAGCTTCGCCTTCACACTCCCCCTTCACGTGGCCCATCTCACTGCCCTGCACCCTCGTCACTGTTTGACCTGCCACCACAGAGCAGGGTGGTAGACAGCTGTTTGTGTGACTGAAGGCTGGTATTCCGTGACATACAACAGGGTCGGTACTGGATCCCTTATTGGTCACAATGTGTATACGTAAATGATAAATGAGAAAATCAGAGGGATTAGTAAGTTTGTGAATGACAGTAAGATTAGACGGGGAGTTGGTCAGATGAGCAGATTAATGGCAGGTGGAATTTAACTCTGAAAAGTGTGAAGCGATGCACTTTGGAAGAAGGAACAAGACAAGGGAGTACTCATTGAATGGCAAGACAATAGGAAGCTCAGAGAAATCTCGGGATCCTTGTCCGCAGATCCCTAAAGTCATCAGGACAGGGTAATAGCTGGCTCAGAAGAGATATGGGACACTTGCCTTTTTCAGTTGTAGCATAGATTATAAGAGCTGAGAAGTTATGTTGGAGCCGCACAGGGCTTTGTTTAGGTCACAGCTGGAGTACTGTGTGCAGTTCTGGTCTCCACATGATAGGAAGGATGTGATGGGGTGCAGAGGAGATTCACCAGGATGTTGCCTGGGATGGAGCAGGTTACAAATGAAGCGAAGCTGCATAGGCTCAGGTTGTTTTCTTTAGAGCAGAGGAGGCTGAGAGGGGACCTCATTGAGGTGTATAAGAATTATGAGGGGCCTGGACTGGATGGATAGAAAGTAGGGGCATAATTTTAATGTGAAGGGCAGGAGGTTTGAGGGAAAAAGTTTTCACCCAGACGGTGGTGAGAATCTGAAATGCACTGCCTGGGTGATCAGTAAAGCAGGAAACCTCTCAACTTTAAAAAGTACCTGGATGAGCAGTTGAGAACAATCCAGGCTATGGGGCAAATGCTGGAATATGGGATTAGTGTAGATAGGTTGGTGCAGACTGGATGGGCTGAATGGCCTTTTCTGTGCTGTATGACTGTCTGTCTCTCTCTCTCTCTCTCTATTACTCACTCACTCACTCACTGTCGTGCTCCCTGAGTGAGGCACAGCAACATCAGGAACACAACAATGGTATCAGCAGTGATGTCAAGCAACAACAATGTCCTATTTGAGTGCACGTTGGTAGAGGATTGTATTTTCTTTGAAATCCTACTGGTGGCATCATCCCTGGCTGTCTCTGTAATTTTCTTCAGCCCCATCACCCTCCAAAAGATCTGGTTGCTCAGTTCTCAACTCTTGAGCATCCCTGATTTTAGCTGTCACAACATTGGAGGCCTTTGCTCTAGCCAACTAGGCCCCATGCTCTAGAATTCCCTCTCTGCTTCTTTACCCTTCATTCCTCCTTTAGGACGAATCAACAAAAGTCCTCCTGATTGACCCCTGCCCTAAAATCATGTGCCTTGGGACCTTGTACTACATTCAAGATGCTATATAAATGCTTGTGTTGGGGATGGCTGATGGTATGGTCGTGGAACACGTTAAGACTTGCCTTGCTGTTCCATTGTCTAAACTCTTGAACTTTTGGAACTTTGAATAGGTCTTTGGACCCTGAACTTTTGCAGTGTTTGTCTTTGATATGGAGAAATGGTGAATAGTTTAGTCTATTGTATATAGACAGATGTGTATATCAAAGACGCAAATGTCATTTTATATTTGGGAGATGACACTCTGACTCACCAAAGACAGAGCAGATTCAGGCCTGCTGGTTAATGATCAGGTGTTTGAAATTAGTCTGGGCCTGATTTTGAGCTCAGCCCAGTGATACAAGCCTACACAGGTAGGCCAGAGGACAATCATCTCGACCACCAACCCCCTCTCCAGGATTGAGGTCCAGGTCGTGGGCCTCATTGGCAGCAGCAGACCTCAGGGCTGGTTCTGGGAGAAGGCAGTTGCTAAACCTATGGAGTCAGTGGGAGGGCGCTGGGGTTAGTCTCGCTCCTGGTTCCACAGATTTTTCTTTAAAAGTAATCTAAATCGTCATCGTAACCACTGATTATTTGGGCATTGAAAACAAGAGCAGGTGGAGGCCTTTCAATCCCTCTGCTGCTCAGAAAGGTCATGTCTACATTTCTGCTTCAGTACCACTTGAGAATCCGTGTGCTGTTCATCCATGTCTGCTATTAGACAATCAGTGCTTTAATGGTGCATCAGCAGGTTTTAAGCCTTGAGCAATATTGCCTCCACAGACGCTTGACAGATGATCCCCGTGAATTTAGTGATGGGGCATAGCTACTTTCTCAATGGGTCACTAAAGCACACTAAACTACAACTGTGCTGTCTCCATAATCCTTTCATAACAGACGCAATGGGTGTGTCTCTCATTATGTTCCACTTATGAAGGGAAAAAGAGTGTGTGGCAGCAGAGAACCTGCACTTATCAGATTAAAGGTTATTGTGTGGGACAGCCAGGGCAAAAGGCTGTCTTGCCTTCAAGTTGTTTCTCCCCCACATCTTTCTAAAAAAAACATTAGATATTGTAAGGAAGATCCATGCCTTTCCTGTATTTCAGACACACGTCTGGCTGGTCTCCAACATTCTAACTTAAATAAGCCTGAGGCCATTCAAAACTCTGCAGTCTGTGTCCAAACTCATACCAAATACTGTTCACCCCTGTGCTCACTCACTCACATCGGCTCCCACTAAACAGCGACTTGGTTTTATGACTGTCATCCTTATTTTCAAATCCCTCCAGGAACTGTGTGTTCCTCATTTCTGGCCCTTTGACAATTGCCCAGTGTTAATGGCTCCACTATTGGCCTAAACACTGGAACTTGTGCCCTGAACTCCTCTGCCTCTCTTCCCTCCTTTAAGAGGCCCCTTGAAATCAACCTCTTTGATCAAGCTTTTCAAAATTTGACTGAATAGCTCATGTGGCTCAATAACAAACCTTGCTGCAGTTACATAGCGTTTTGGTAAGTATTTTGTACAATTCAGATGTTTGCACTCAAGTAATATCCTTTCTTTCAGAGGCAGTGCAACGAAAGTGCATTAATCTGCTTCTTGGGATGAGGTAGAGGGGAAATTAAATTGAATGGGCTTGTACGCACTTGAATTTAGAGGTGAGCACTTTGAAACACACAAGATTCTGAAAGGGCTTGGTGCAGAGAGAGATCGATTCCCCGGCTCCAAAACCAGGAGTAGTAGTTCATTAGTAAAGCAGTGGCCATTGAGTGAGAATTGAAATACTAATGCCTGAAATCCTTCACTCCCGTAGAAATGTGAATGATCAACCATTGAGTGTATTCAAGACAGAGTTCAATAGATTTCTGAATTCTAACCGTATCAAGGGTTGGGTTGGGAGAGGGGAGCTGACCTTGAAGATCAGCCATGATCGTATGGAATGGTGCAATAAGATTGAGTGACCAATTGGTAAACCCTGCTTCTATTTCTTATGGTAACCACACGAGCTGATATTTTTGTGCATTGTGTATATATAAAAAATATATACATACTATTAATCAATTCACCTGAATTTTTTAAACAGAATTCTGGACAGTTTTGTTCAAAATGTAATTGTTTGAAGTACTTGAAAATATTTTAATACTATGTTTGATTATAATAAACATCATTGACTTACACTGTTATAACGTTTTTAACAATTCTAACATGAAGACGGCTTTGAAGAGTTTCTCTCCGCTGTTACAGTTTGGATGGATTAAAGTTTTACTGTTGTCTTATGCAGATGACTATATTTTATTGGTCACAATCATCACTGCAGTTATAGTGTAATACAGCATATAAACAGACCCTTTGGTCCAACCAGTCCATGCTGAACATAATCCCAAACTAAACCAGTCCCAACTCTTTACTCTTGGCCCACATTCCTCCAAACCTTTCCTATTCATGTATTTATCTAAGTGTCTTTTAAATGTTGTAACTGTGCCCACATCCACCACTTCCTCAGGAAGTTATTCCACGCGCGAACCACCCTCTGTATAAAAATAATTGCCCCTCGTCATTTTTAAATCTCTCTCCTCTCACCTTAAAAATACATCCCCTAGTCTTGAAATTCCCCCATCCTAGGGAAAAGATACCTACCATTAACCCTACCTATACGCCTTATGATTTTATAAACCTACACCACAGGAAAATACCTTTTGGCCCATCAAATGTGTGCTGGTCAAAACCAACCACCTAACTATTCTAACCCCATTTTCCAGCACTTGGCCCATAGCCTTGTATGCCTTGGCAACGTAACAGCACATCTAAATACTTCTTAAATGTTATGAGGGTTTCTGCCTCTACCACCCTTACAGGCTGCATTTTCTTTTCCTTTATTCAATCATGGGATGACGGTGTCCCTGGCTAGGCACCATTTATTGCCCGTCCCTAATTGCCCAGATGGCAGTTCAGAGTCAACCACATTGCTGTGGGTCTGGAGTCACATGTACACCAGACCAGGTAAGGATGGCAGTTTCCTTCCCTAAAGGACATCAGTGAACCAGATGGATTTTTCCTGAAAATCGACAATGGTGATCATTAGATTCTTTATTGTATATGTTTTATTAAGTTCAAATTCCACCATCTGCCATGGCGGGATTCGTGGGTACACCAGAATGTTATCTGGGTCTTTGGATGAATAGTCCAGCAATAATACCACTAGGCCATTACCTACTGTGTCATGATGTTCCAATTCCTATCAAACAAACTGAAGTAAGATTACATGGAGTTTAATACGAAACAAAAGTAACATTTACCAGTCACTATAAATGAACTTATTAGTGGTTTATAAATGATAATGATACAACATCCCATGTCAGTGTTAGACGCTGGTACATGGGACATTAAAGCAGATAGTTAAGCTTACAAGGGGGACAAGTAAAAGTTCTGGCTAAGGTGATGAGAACTGGCCCAAAAATAAGATGCTTTGAGTTTTATTATGCCTGATGTAGAATAGGAAAGGATGATCCGCTATAAATTCACCTGTTGAGCTGAAACACCGAAACGACAGAGTGGCCTCTGTGCTGGCTGCTGCTTCACTTCCTTCTTCATTCACATCCACAAAGGACTTGTGAATAACATTGGACAAACACAGGTCACGTGTCCCTGTCATTCCCGAGAAATTGGCGCTCCTCCTATCGAAGGCCTCTGACATTCCCATGATGGCAAGTGTAGCCCTGAGGTCGTAGCTTCCTTCCAGCTTGAATTTGGGCAGGTTAACAAATATTTCTGAAGGATCCAGATTTTTCACGCTGGTCCATTTCAACAGCTTGTCGTACGTGAGACTCTTCTGCAGCTAAACACAGGAAAACAAATATCAGTGCAATTAGAAATAACTTGGCCTTTTACAGGACAAGGGTGGCACAATGGCTCAGTGGTTAGCACTAACAAAAACAGAAGTTGCTGGAAAAGCTCAGCAGGTCTGGCAGCATCTGTGAAGAAAAAAATCAGAATTAGCGTTTCGGGTCCAGTGACCCTTTCTCGGTTAGCACTGCTGCTTCACAACGCCAGGGACCCAGGTTTGATTCTACCTTTGGGCAGCTGTGTGGAGTTTGCACATTCTCCCCATTGTCTGTGTGAGTTTCCTCCGGGTGTTCCGGTTTCCTCCCACAGTCCAAACATGTGCAGGTTAGGTGGATTGGCCACGGCAAATTGCCCATAGAGTCCAGGGATGGCCAGGCTTAGTGGATTAACCATGGGAAATGCAGGGTTAAAGGGATAGGGTGGGCCTGGGTGGGATGCTCTTCAGAGGATCGATATGGACTTGATGGGCTGAATGGCCAGCTTCTACACTGCAGAGATTGTATGATTCTAACACCACCCTGTGGAAATGCTGGCCTTCCCTACGTTCAAAAACATCCCATTCCTTTCATCTCAGAGTGCATAACGTAGCATAACCCTCGAGTGAAAATCTATTTTAAAAACCTGCTTCTATTACACTTGATCTGTTTAAATTAAATCACATAGCAAACATTACCCTTTAAAATATGAAGGATTGCTACAGAATCAGTCAGCTGACAAATGAGTTTATTCCCTCCCTTCTCTTGTTTGAGGACAAGGAAAACGTTTTGTCTAATGCGATGAGAATAAATGCTGAGAATTTGAGATATTTTAAAACAATCTGTTCAGAAATGTTATTACACACCCGTGGAGAAGTGGGACTTGAATCTGGGCCTCCTGGTCCAGAGGTGGGGACAGTACAGCTGTGCCACAAGAATTAGAATTTTATTGGTTCCCCCAGTGAGGATCTGTGGTCACATTTTCCTTTTCCTCCTTAAGAAAAGATATAGCGGGAGATGAAGGAAGTGTTTTTATATTATAGGTTTATTTTTCTTCATTTAGTCAGTCAAAGCACTCTTTTTTCCCCCTACAACTTCATGACAAGCCACAAAAACACAGGACGATGTCAAACGCGTGCACACACATGTTCTTGCCCTTGTTCTGGCCGGTTTGGCTTTGCTGCCACAATTGTTAACAATCTCCAAGGTTCCTTTCACAGCACCTTCCAAACCTGCCAGAGGGCAGCAGACACATGGTAAGACCACCACCTGCAACTGCCCTTCCAAGGCGCACATCGCCATCCGGAATTGGAACATTGTCGCGGTCTTCCCATTGTTAAACTGTCTTGGAAGCCACAGTGGGTGGAGTTATAATACAGGAACTAGAGCAGCTCCTCATCACCAGGGTAATTTATATTTAGATTTATTTAATATTGTCGCTTGTACCTAGGTACAGCGAAAAGTGGATAATGTTGCCACGTTCCAAAGCTATCTTGGATTACAATTATGAATTCGCAACAGGTGTTGGCCTCACATCACAGGAATGAATTGAAAAACATTACCTTTTCTAATCCGCCAATTTCATCAGGTAACAGGATGATCATACTCAGCTCGTCCTGAGTATAAGGCAGCTCCAGGACATTGGTTGCAACCTCTTCAATGTACGCTGTGTTAAATGTTCCTTTCTGACACATCATTTTCACTGGTTTAGATTCATTCTGATAAAATGAATTTTTTTTTTGAAAAAAGACTCCCATTAGTACCTAATGATAACAACTCAAACCTTTGCCGGAATATTTTTCTGTCAGAAGACAGTACCTTGGTGACAATGAATGGCCTCTCCTCGGTATTATCTTCATCAAATTTCTTCTCCCAATTGCCTTTGAAGTAGACGGCATTCACGAGAACAAGCTTTGAATCCGCATCAACTGTGCCTTGAGCTAACAAGTTCTGGATCTTGCCTAAAATTAAATGATGCAAACATTTATTACAGCACAAGAACTGGCCATTCGGCCTATCGAGTTCATGTCAGTGTTCATGCTCCACACAAGCCTCCTCCCACACCTCTTCATCAAACTCTGGCTTTCTTTCCATCTCATGTAATTATCTAGCTTATGCTGTCTGTTCTGTTTGCTGTCACTACTCCTTATAGCAGCGAGTACCACATTCTAACCGTTTTCTTGTTAAGGAAGATTCTCCTGAATTGCCTATTGCTTAATAACCGTCTTATAGACCCACTCTGATCTCATTCACAAATAGACAGGATGTTTTCATGTTCATTTTATCAAACTCTCTAATTTTGAAGGCCTCTATCAAGTCACGGCTCACTGTTCTTGATCTACCTCACTGCAACGCTTCACCTCACTGCCAACAAGCTCCCCGCTGGAGTGGACCTAAATTACAGAACCCGCGGGAAATTTTTCATCCTCTGTCGCCTTCAAACCAAAACCAAAGTCACTCCCAACCAGTGTCATCGAGCTGCAGTACGCAGATGATGTTTGTATATGTGCAGTCTCAGAGGACGTGCTCTAGACCATCGTCAGCACCTTTATGGAGGCATATGAGAGCATGGGTCTCACCCTTAATATCTGCAAGACGAAGGTCCTCCACCAACCTGGCCTGGCATTGTGGAGCAAACCCCCTACCCAAACATCAAGGTCCACAGGGAGGCCTTAGAGGACACTGACCACTTCCATTACCTCAGGAGTGTCCTGTTGGCCAAAGCAGTTATTGATGAAGAGATCCAGCATCACCTCCAATGTGCTAACGCAGCCTTCAGCTGCCTGAGGACAACAACATCAGATCTGACACCAAGACCATGGTTTACAGAGCTGTGGTGGTTCCAGCCCTTGTTCATGGCTCTGAGACGTAGACTGTTTACAGCAGACACCTCAAGGCGCTGGAGCAGTAGCACCAATGCTGCCTGTGCAAGATCCTGCAAATCGCTGGGAAGAAAGACGCACCAACACCAGTGTACCTGACCAGGCCAACATCCCCAGCATCGAGACACTGACTACCCTTGATCGGCTGCGATGGGCTGGGTATGTCGACTGTGTGACCTACATGTGACTCCCCAAGCAGCTGCTCTACTCCCAGCTTCGAAATGGCAGGCAAGCCCCAGGTGGACAGAGGAAGGGCTTTAGTGATGCCCTCAAGGCCTCATTGTGGAAGTACGGCATTCCCACAGTCACCTGGGAATCACTTGCTCAAGACCATCCAAAGTGGAGGTGGAGCATCTGGGAAGGCATTGTCATCAGGAAAAAATGGAAGACAGGTGAAAACAGGGAAAAGGAGTGCACTGCCACACCAACGCTCCATCCACCCCTTCCCATGACCACCACCTGCCCCAGGTGTAACAGAGCCTGCGGTAGCCCTATTGGAATGTACAGCCATCTGCAGACTCCCCCTGAGAGTGGAAGGGAGTCATCCTTATCTGTGAGGGACCGCCAATGATGAATGAACTATGTCTAACCTTACTGCCTTGTTTTTCCATTCTCAGCTTCTTAAAACAAACCCCTATGCTTTGTTTTCTTTCTTTAATGGCCTCATAGACAGATCACTGACTTGTATGATTTTGGTCAATCATTGGATCCCACTGCAGCTGTACTCACTTCTAATACTTGGAACAAAACTGCAATTGAATGAACAAAAACAGAAGTTGCTGGAAAAGCTCAGCAGGTCTGGGAGCATCTGTGAAGAAAAAAAATCAGAGTTTCCGTTTTGGTGACCCTTCCTCAGAACTGTGTTCCTGATTTACAGCATCTGCAGTTCTTTCGGTTTTTATTGCAATTGAATGAACCTGGCTGGGAGCTTGACAGGGGGTTTAGGAGCCCCTTTGTAACTGTAGTGGCTTTCTATTCAACCAGGGTTAGTGTCCCACGTAGAGAAGCTGGGCAGGTTGATGTGCTGAATCTGTCAGAAGGGTAGCATTTCTAGTAAGACTGGCTGAACTGTGCTTCGATTTCTGTAGTTACAGAAACGGAAGTAAAAGCAGGTCATATTCCAGCAGGTGGAAGATGGTGACCCTCAGCTGCAGTGTAAGTTGGCTCAGGACACCCAGCTGAGCCTCGCTCACTGTGCTGGGATCACAGTCCCCCTCCCTCAGGCTGAGTCTGTCCTGTCTGGCCCTGTGGCCCACATGGCAGTGAACTGGAGCCACTGCTGTTGTTCCCTGTCGGAGCTGCAGGGCAGAGGTGCCACTGTACAGGCTGGAAGGCAGGGAAGTGTGGCTCAACGTGGTTGAAGTCCAAGACAAATGACAGGTTTCAAGAGGCTGGAAATCACCAAAACACCTTCAACATTAACTCCCTGCATCACCAGTGCACGGTAGCAGCAGCATGTACCATCTCCACGATGCACTGCAGTAACTCACCCCCAGGATCCTTTGACAGCATCTTCCAGACTCATGACCACTTCCATCTAGAAGGACAAGGGCAGCGGATGCACCACCACCTGCAAGTTCCCCTTCAAGCCACTCACCATCCTGACTTAGAAATATGTTGCTATCCCTTCAGTGTCGCTGGGTCAAAATCCCAGAACTCCCTTGTTTAACAGTACTGAGGTACCTACACCACGTGGACTACAGCGATTCAAGTAGGCAGCTCACCGCACACAGATAGGGGTGGTCAATACATGGTGATCTTGCCAGCAATACCTACAGCCAGTGAATGAATTAGAAACACCAAGAGCAAAAGCAATCTCTCAGAAGGATTTCCAGCCTCTTGCTTAGACAGGGCTGCAGCTCCATGGCCTCCCCATCTAGCAGCTTCACAGAGGGGGTTCTATTCTGCTGTGCTTTCACCCAGAGGACCCTTTGAGAGTTGCAGACAGCGGATTGTTAAAGCCAGAAAATTGGGTACAACTCAAAGGAAATGAGCTGCCTGACAGCTGGTCTGTAAACCCAACTGGGTCAAGCTTGCTAAAGGGTGACATGATGGTGGGTTCCTAACACAAGTGTCACTTTTTGGGGCTTTAACCACTCTTTCTCCAAATCCCTTCGTTCTCACACACCATACCACATTAGCATGGACCCAAGCCAATCTCCAGTTAAATCTGTGTCCTTCGTTTCCAAAGGAATACCTGCCCTTTGCACTCTTTCTGCTAGGGTGTATATAAACCTTTTCTTAAGAGGAAATAAATGTTAGATTCATAATTTAATTGAATCGAAGATTTTAGGACTGCTTAGCGACAGTTCATTGACACACCGACACAATCATTAGCTTTAGTGACTCTATGTAATAAATAGACATTTTACCCTCTGTCTGCCCTTCCACCCAAGCGTTGATGTGGACTCTGGCCTCTTCTGATCTTTCTGCAAAATCAATAGCAGCGAGTTCTGCTTGATAGAACTTTGACATGGATTCGAGATACTCCTGTAAAATCAATACACAATGTTCTGAAGGGAAGATAATACATGGAACACTGTTATCTCTGTTCTGTGTCAGGATTCAGTGAGCGTGTGCACAGGATAAGATAAACAGCCTTACATTTTGACATTCCATGTAAATTACGATAAAACATGCTTGCACTGTCCTCAGCTCAGATAAGAAAGGTTTGCTGGATATGACTATATTTGAGACATTACCTTATTGACTTATTCACTTCATTTGTTACATGCAGTAACTGTAAATTTAAACTTGCACCAGTAGAGACATGCAAGACATTTGCAATAAAATTAGATTTTCATTGCAACGGTTTTTCCTTTCATCCTCAAGTTATGCCATTCCATCCCTCTCATGCCACCCCCCACCTCAGCCTCTTCCCTATGCCATCACCAACGTAGCTCTCTTGTCCCATTCTATCCCCATCCCTGTTCTACACCCATCTTCCCTCCCCCCACCCTTTACCATGTCTCCTCTCCCCCCTCCCCAACCCCCTTCTCTCTCATGATGCACACCACTGCTCATTATATTTTGTGTATAAAACTGAAGGGGGGCACCTGACTGGGATATGAATTTTGCTGCTTTGATCGCCATCCTTAAAACAAGTTAGGCAGGCTTGGAAACTGAAACTTATTAAACCCGTTTGATTGAAAAGCTTCATCAGAGATGCGACTTTCTCCCAGGTACAGTCCATGTATAAATGAACTGAGGTGAGTTTCTCACTCCATTGTCTGCATTTAACGGAGGTGACACCAACAGCGGTTGGCCAATGGGAGTGCATCAGCTCTGCTGCACTGCAGCGCCTCCCAGGAGGTTCTGCCGGTATGGCACCCACCCAATGCCAAAGATCATCACTGGATCCCAGCTGATATTGGTCGGTTGGGGGCTGGGGGACGGGGGACGGGGGGAGAGAAAGAGAGAGAGAGAGAGAATAGGACCCCGGTGAGGGAAACGTGTCAAGGTCACGTTAAAGATAAGGTCTACTAATCAATTGATCATTAGAGATTGACCACTCTGTGAGTTTAGTTGATTTATAAACAATAAAATGTGTTCCAAGTTATGAAGCAGAGTTCACAAACCCACAGCAGCGTGGTGGAGTTGCTATCATTGTATACACGCAGCCCAATGATGTCCTCTCTCTTAAAGACACAGTCCACATTCAATTGACATCAAGGTTGGCTCTCGGGAGTGTCCGGACTTTTCCCTAAATCAGACACACCAACCCCACAGGGTTAACCTTGTGCTCCCTGCATGGCATGTGACCTGTTGCCCTGCAGGTAAATTGGCAGCAGTTTGCATTGACTGGTAACAGACCTTCCTGCCCTGGACTTAATTGGTACAAGAGTGGGAGGGCTCTGACCTTTGCCCTCCCATCTGAATAAATGACAGCTCCCCCCGCCAATCCCCTGCTCCCAAACCCATCACAGAGAGGGGCACTAAATTCTGTCCCATATAATTTCAGGGTCAAACAGCCCAGATAAAGTGCAATTTCCTATTTTATCTGAGCCCTTCTCCTAAAAATGAAGCCTTTGGGAAAAAGAGATCTGTGCGTGAGAACAGCAATTACTTAAGCAAGCTGCCCCTTCGTTGGATATTCAGCTCCATGAGTTCCACTGTGCAACCCACACAACAGATAAAGCTATAACAAAGGTGAAGATTTCATTGGGTTTTTGCTTTTCATTGAACTTCCTGAAATACTTAACAGCCTATGGAGAACATTTGAAATGTTATGCAGAAAACGTGACTCAGTGGTTAGCATTGCTGTCCTCACAGCTCCAGGGAGCTGGGTTCAATTCCAGCCTTGGGCAACTGTCTGTGTTGAGTTTGCACATTCTGTCTGTATCCTTGCGGGTTCCCTCTGGGCGCTCCAGTCTCCTCTCACAGTCCAAAGATATGCAGGTTAGGCGGATTGGCTGTGCTAAATTATCCCATAGTGTCCATGGACGTGGGTTAGCCATGGGAAATGAAGGGTTACAGGGATAGGTGGGGGGGTGTTGGTTCTTGGTGGGATGCTGTTTGGAGGGTTGGTGTGGGCTGAATAGCCTGATTCCACACTGTAGAGATTCTATGAATTTGCACACAGCAAGCTATGTGCAAAGATAATCTACTTTTATGATGTTGACGGAGATAAATATTGGCCAGCACAGCGGAATAACTCCCCCACTCTCCATCAAAATAACCCCAAGGGACTTTTTCTGAACATTCACCTGACCAGGCCTCAGTTCAATGTCTCTTCTGAAAGTCAGAATGGGGTCATTCTGTTTTTTCACTCCCAAAATGAGAATTATAATAACTGAAAACTTTTCCTTTTCTTATCTAACAGTCCTCTACTACATCTTACACAGTGCAAGTCGAAGCTGTTATCTCTGTACAGGCCATTTGCCACCTTCAGCAGATTGGCAGTGTTGAGATTCTTCATATCTGACTGCAACTTCTGGAATCCAGCACAAACATTTCCAACGCCACCAAAATGCAGCACCTGCAAACAACAACATGCATAACAATCATTGCTAAAATTTAAAACACGTCTCCATTCCAGCAGTCCTCTGAATATATTCATAACCGATACAGTCTCTCTTCATATGTCAGCCCTGCCATCCCAGAAATCAGTTGGGTAAATTTTCCTTGCAGTCCCTCCATAGCTCAAACATACTGTCCCAGTGTCAGGATTCACAGTTGGACAACATGATCAGATCATTCATTCAGAACTACCTTTCCAACCTACTTTGTGATAGTCACATATAATCTAAATGGGAATGAAGATGTAATTGATTTTGATGAGGGTATTCATTAATTAGGTCTACATTTGAGTGGTTATCATCACCTAGTATAGAGTCATACAACATGGAAATAGACCCTTTGGCCCAACTCGTCCATGCTGACCAGGTTTCCTAAACTGAACTAGTCCTATTTGCCTGCATCTGGCCCATATCCCTCTAAACCTTTTCTATCCATGTACCTGTGCAAATGTCTTTTAAATGTTGTAACTGTATACAACTCAACCACTTCCTCTGGCAACTCATTCCATATATGCACCATACTGTGTGAAAAAGTTGCCTCTTAGGTCCCTTTTAAATCTTTCCCCTCTCACCTTAAAATTTGGACTCCCCTACCAAGAAAAAGACCGTGGCTATTTACCTTCTCTATGCCCCTCATGATTTATAAATCTCTATAAGATCACCCCTTAACCTCCTACGCTCCAGGGAAAAAAGTCCCAGCCTATTCAGCCTCTCCTTGTAACTCAAACCCTCCAATCCAGTAACATCTTTGTAAATCTTTTTTGCATCAATTCCAGTTAAACAATATCCTTCCTGTAGAAGGGCAACCAGAATTGTACGCAGTACTCCAAATGTGGCTTACCAATGTCTTGTACAGCCCAACTCCTACTTTCAGTGTTCTGACTGACGAAGGCAAATGTACCAAGTGCCTTCTTCACCAACCTGTCTATGATGCTTCAAGGAAGTATGTACTTGCATCTCTAGGTGTTTCTGTTTGACAACACTCCCCAGGACCCCACCATTAACTGTATAAGTCCTGTCTTGGTTTGGCTTACCAAAATGCAACACCTATCTAAATTAAACTCCATCTGCCACTCCTTGGCCGAGTGGCCCAATTGTTGAAGATCCCATTGTACTCAGAGGTACCCTTCTTCACCGTTCAGTATACCACCAATTTTGGTGTCATCCACAAACTTACTAATGAAGCCTTCTATATTCTCATTCAAATCTTTTACGTAAGTGATGAACAACAGTGGACCCAGCACTAATCCTTCTGACACACCGCTGGTCACAGGCCTCCAGTCTAAACAACAACCCTCTACCACCACCCTCTGTCTCCTACCATTAAGCCAATTTTGTGTCCAATTGGCTAGCTGTCCCTGGATCCCATGTGATCTAACCTTACTAACCAGTCTACCATGTCAAAGGCTTTGCTAAAGTCCATGTCTGATTTCATTTATCTTCTTCGTCATCCCTTCAAAAAAAAACTTAATCACGTTTGTGAGACACAACTTCTCATGCACAAAGCCATGGTGACTATCCCTAATCAGTCCTTGCCTCTCCAAGTGCATATAAATTCTGTCTCTCATAATCTTCTCCAGCAACTTACCCACCAGTGACACAAGTCTCACCGGTCTGGCGCAACATTAGCAACTCTCCCGTCTTCTGGCACCTCAGCCGTGGCTGTCGATGATACAAATATCGCTGCTTGGGGGTCCCACAGTTTCTTTCCTAGCTTCCGACAATGTCCTGGGATACACTTGATCAGGTCCCAGGATGCACCTACCTTTATGTTTTTTAAGACCTCCAGCACCTTTCTTCTTCTGTGGTTCCACACATAGACAACCTCATTGATCTTTAGGAGGCCCTCTTGTCTCCCTCGTTACTCTTAGCTCTTAATATACTTATAAAATCTCTTTGGATTCTCCTTAAGCTTATCTCCCAAAGCTATTTCATGTCCCCTTTTTGCCCTCCTGATTTCTCTCTCAAGTGCACTCCTATACCCCCTAAACTCTCAAGGGATTCACTTGGATTCCAGCTGTCTATACCTGACATATGCCTCCTTTTTCTTGAATAACGTGTAATGAGCTCCTGGGTGCTCCCGCTCTCCATGAAGAAACCTACTGGAAGCAATTCTGAAGAACAGAATTAATCTACATTCAGAGAGGCAGATATTAATCAAGGACAGTCAGCATGGTTTTGTTAACGGGGAGGTCGCGCCTAATCAACTTGATTGAATTTTTCAAAGATGTGACCAAGTGTGTAGATGAGGGCTAACACAGTGTGGAGCTGGAGGAACACAGCAGGCCAGGCAGCATCAGAGAAGCAGGAAAGTTGACATTTCAGGTCAGGACCCTTCTCAGTCCCGACCCAAAACGTCAGCTTTCCTGCTCCTCTGATGCTGCCTGACCTCCAGCTCCACACCGTGTTATCTCTGACTCCAGCATCTGCAGTTCTTGCCATCTCTGTAGACAAGGGCAATGCTTTTGATGTTGTCAAATTGGACTTCAGCAAGACTTTCAATAAGATCATGCATGGGAGACCAATAACCAAGGTAAGAGTTCATGGGATCTAAAGAAATTTGGCAAATTGGATCTAATCATTGGCTGATTGGAGGGAAGCAGAGGGTGAAGGCTGGTGGATGATTTTCTGCCTGGAGGTTTGTGTCTAGTGGAGTCCCACAGGGGTCAGTGTCGGGGCCTTTGCTGTTTGGTGTTTACATAAATTATTCAAACTTGAACATAGAAGGAATAAAACAAAGGATTGTGGATGCTGAAAATCTGAAGCAAAAACAGAAGTTGGTGGTAAAATCCAGCAGCGCTGGCAGCATCTGTGGGAAGAAAGCAGCACTTTGATGAGAATCCCCACATTCAATGTTAACGTGCTTCCTCTCCACAGATATTCCAGATCTGCTGAGTTTCTCCAGCAATTTTTGTTTTTGATGTTGAATATAGAAGGGTTGATCAGCAAGTTTGTTGATGAAAAATAACTTGTTGGAGGTGGTATATAATCAGGAGAATAGTTTTAGATTACATGAGGATACAAACAGGCTGGTCAGATGGGTTGGTCAGTTGTGAATGGGTTTCAATTTGGATAAATGTAAGGTGATACACTTGGGCAGGACAAACAAGGCAAGGGAATACATGATGAAAGGTAGGACCCAGGGAAGCACTAGCATCAGAGGGAACTTGGTGGGTATGTCCACTGAGCAGAGGTGGATAAAGTGGATAAGAAGGCATATGATATGATAGAGGCTTTGCAGTGGGGTTCTTGGAAGCCTACAACCCAATGGTCTCAATGTGGACTTTACGAGCTTCAAAATCTCCCCACCCCCAACCTCATCCCAAGACCAGCACCCCCGCTCATCCCCACCTCCTTGACTTGTCTGTATTCTCTCCCACCTATCACCTCCTCCCACCTCACTGATCAATCCCCACCACTACCTACCTACACTCACCTTTACTAGCTTCATCCCGCCTCCTTGACCTGTCCATCTTCTCTCCCACCTATCTGCTCCACTATCTACCTGCTATCACTGCCCCCCCCTCTCTATTTATTCCAGAGACTCCTACCCCTCCCCCATTTCTGAAGAAGGGTCCTGATGAAATGTTAAAGGGTTAATATTTGTTCTGCTGACATGTAAGAAATTAGGTGCTAAGCTGTGCTGTGGGTGCCTCTGTCTCGCAGACAAAATGTGGTAATCTAATTATGAGACAACAAGGTGCAGGGCTGGATGAACACAGCAGGCCAAGCAGCATCATAGGAGCAGAGAGGCTGACGTTTCGGGCCTAGACCCTTCA